TATATAGTCAATAAGCACATGAAAATGTGCTTAATATCATTAGTTACCAAGGAATAAAAATTAAAACCACAATGAGACAATCAATACTACATATATCCATTAAAATTATACAATTAAAAAGAATGACACCACCAAATGTGAGGATATGGAGGAAACGAACTCTCATACATTGCTGGTCAGATGGTAGAGCAGTACATCACTTTGAAAAACAGTTTGACAGCTTCTTGAAAAGTTAAATATGCACTCACCATATGATCTAGCAATTCCACTTCAAGATTTACCCAGAAAAATTAAAATATACATCCACACAAAGATCTGTACACAAATGTTATATAGCAACTTTATTCGCAATAGTAAAAAACGGGACACAACTCAAATATCCATCAGCCAGTGCATGGATGAACAAAATGCAAACAGAATACTACTCAGCAACTAAAAGAAATACTGATACATGTATAATAGTAATATGGATGAATCTCAAAACCATCATGCTGAATGAAAGAAATCAAACACAAAATAGTACATAGTATGATTCTACTTATGTAACTCTAGAAAATGCAAAATAATTTATAGCGACAAAAAATAGACCAGTGGGTGGATGGTGCAGGACCAGAAGACAGATTTTGTAAAGGGTTATGAAGAATCTTTTGGAAGTGATGGAATTGTTCTATATCTTGATTGTGGTGGTTGTTTCACAGATGCATTCAACTGTTAAAACTCACTGAATTATACACTTTGGATGCAGTTTATTGTACATAAATTATACCTTTAAAAAGCTGACAAAAATAATCAAGTGGGGGTAGGGAGTGGGTAGGGATAAACATAAAACAAGAACAGCAGAATGTTAATTCTTGAGGTTGGATGATAGATTTGTGGGGACTCATTATACTTTCTGTTTATTTTTAATTTTTAGAGGCAGGGTCTCGTTCTGTCTCCTGGGCTGGAGTATGGGGGCATCATCATAGCTCACTACAGCCTCCAACTCTAGACTCAAGCCATCCTCCCACCTCAGTCTCCCAGGTAGCTGGGACTACAAGTGTGCACCACCACACCCAGCTAATAGCACCTGGATTTTAGACTGGAATTCTCAACTCTACATTATTTTTTAAAAATTCTTACAGATTCTGTTAGTACTTTTATTACTTCTCTTTTTATGCATTCAAATCCTTTGGTCATTCTGTAATTTATCTACTATAATCTAATCTGATGAATACTTAATTATTCTATTTTTTCTTTAACAATAAAGGCATTTAAGGCCATTAAAACTTTCCCCAAAACAGCTTTCATTATTTTCCATGATAGTTGGTGAGATGTATTCCCCTTTACATCCTTTTCTAAATAGTTTGTGTATATAAGTTATTTTCTTTTCTTTTCTTTTTTTTTTTTGAGACAGAGTCTCGCTTTGTTGTCCAGGCTAGAGTGAGTGCCATGGCGTCAGCCTAGCTCACAGCAACCTCAAATTCCTGGGCTCAAGAGATCCTGCTGCCTCAGCCTCCCAAGTAGCTGGGACTACAGGCATGCGCCACCATGCCCGGCTTTTTTTTTTTTATATATATATTAGTTGGCCAATTAATTTCTTTCTATTTATACTAGAGACGGGGTCTCGCTCTTGCTCAGGCTGGTTTCGAATTCCTGACCTCGAGCAATCAGCCCGCCTCAGCCTCCCAGAGAGCTAGGATTACAGGCGTGAGCCACCACGCCCGGCTTATAAGTTATTTTCTTTTAGAGCCAAAGGTTGTATCCAGTAATGTGTCTGTAAAATTTCCATATTGTTAAGAGGTTTTAGCCACCTTTTATTATTTGTTTTTAATTTAACTGAATTGTGATCAAGGAATAATGTCTATAATTTTCTTTGTGGTCAAGTACATGATCATCAATTTTTACAAATGTTGCTAAGATATAGCAATAAAGCATATTCTCTTTTTGAAGGGTATAAAGACCTAGTATATGTCTATTATATCAAATATGTTGTTATTATTTAATTTGTTTATGATCTTATTTTGTCTACTAGATTTACCCAATTATGAGAAATTTCTCCTTGGTTCTGTTATAATTGCATTATATATATTTAGCAACTGTGTTCTTTGGTGCATAAAGACTGATCATTGTTTTATCTTCAACATGTTGAAATCTGAGATCACACAAATTCTACTTCATCTGTTCTTAATATTGTCATTCCTTCATTTTGTTTTGGTTTGTATTTGCCTGGTACATGCTCGTTAAGTGTTACTTTATTTTTAACCTTTCTTTTTCATATTATTTTATGTTTATTTCTTATATTCAGTATATAGGTGGGAAAGACCAAGGCAGAATTAGAGGACTGGGACTTCTGACCAATCTCAGAGGAGGAAAGAGGGACTTAAGGCTAAACTGTTTATTAATAGCAGTGGTTTAATCAATTATTCCTACAATGAAGCCTTCATAAAAACCCAAAAGGACTAGGTTTGGAGAGCTTCCAGATAGCTGAATACATAGAGGTTCCTGGAGAGTGGTGTGCCTAGTCATGGAATTTCCATGCCTCCTCCCCTATACCTGGGCTGATGCAACTTTTCATCTGCATCCTTTGTAATAGGCTTTATAATAAACTGGCAAATGTAAGTAAGTGCTTCCCTGAGTTCGGTGAGCTGCTCTAGCAAATTACCGAACCCAAAGAAGGGTCATGAGAACCCCAACTTGAAGCCAGTAGGTCAGAAGTTTCAGAGGCCTAGACTTGCAATTGGTAAGATGTGGGCCCCTTTACATCCCTTTCTAAATAGTTTGGGGGGAGCAGGCAGTCTTGGGGATCGAGCCTTCAACCTGTGGGATCTGATGCTATCTCCAGGTAGACAGTACCACAATTGAATTAGAGGACACCTAGCTGGTGTCTGCTACAGAATTCTTTGCTTGCTTGGAGTGTGGGGGAAAAGCCCCTGCACATTTAGCCACAGAAATCTTCCATGTTGATTGTCGTTGTGGTATGACAGTAGAGGAAAAAAACTGTTTTGAGTTTTTACTACATAGGCACATAGCAGGTACTCAATAAGTAACTGTTGAATGAAGGAATGAATGCTAAGGACAACTTTATCTATCACACATACACATACCCCACCCCACTTGTGCTTAAACTCTCTAATGGCTTCTAGGTGCACTCAAGAGCCAAGCTCTTTACCATGGCTTATGTGCCCCACGTGACTTGATCCCTATCTACCACCCTGATGTCATTTGTGTAACTTCTCCAACTTGCCAGACTCACTTCGGCTCCAGGGCCTTTACATTCACCGTTCCATCTACCTAGAATGTTCTTCTCCTGATTATCAGATGGTTGGTCCTTCTTACCACTGAGTTTTCAGTGAAATGTGGCCTCTTCAAAGAGGCCTTTACCTATCTAAAAGAGCTAGCCCATTTTCTATCTAAAAGAGCCTATCTAAAAGAGCTAGCCCATCTTATTCCTCCTCCTGCTACCCTACCCCCATAACTCTGTATTCTCACACTCTGTTCTAATGTCTCCACTGCAAATAGCATTTATCATTCCCTAATTAGATTTTATTTATTGGCTTACTTGTGAATCTCATGAGAGCAAGGGCTTTATCTTTCTTGTCTACTACTGTATCCCCAGTGACTAGAAAAGTGGCATATATTAAGAGCTCAATAAATATTTGTTGAAAGACAGAATATTTATTTGCAGCTAAACCTTCTTATATGCTCATAAATATCTGAGAAATCTCCACCCCTCTTCTCTCTCTCACTCCACACCATTATTACTAGCTTCCTCTACCCCAGGATCAGATCACATCAGTCTGGGACCAGTATACCATTAGCAACCAAACAAAACGTGTTTCTCAACCTTTATTAATCTATATCCAGCGGACCTAAGTTTTACCTAATTTTATTTTTTACAGTTTATATTATAAAACTTCTTTTTACTATTTTCCAAAGTCAAAATTATAATATTAAATATGTTTTTCACAGTGTCCTTTCCCTCAATTTTAATTTTCTACCCTGGTTGAGGGATGTAAAATTGGGATTTCCATTAAGAATTACCAATTTGTAACTCTGGAGACAGACAGTTCTTATAATCCTGGGACCCTATGAGTCACTTTCCAACTTTCCCTTTCCTATATTCATTTGATCCCAGACTGTCACTGTTGATGCAGATTCCTCAAATCTTTCCCCCACATTTAGTTGGTCTGTTATTAGCATCCCCCCATAGCATTTGATATCGGTTTTATTAGTATATGTCTTATTTTGGCATTGTTTCATTATAAGTTTCTCTACTTTTTAGACCAGCATTTGTCCAACAGAACTTTCTGTGTTGGAAATATTCTATATCTGTGCCATCAAATATGGTAGTCACACATGGCTACTTAACACTTGAAATGTGACTAGAGCTAATCGAAAAACTGAATTTTCAATTTTATTCTATTAAATGGCCATATGTGGCTACTGGTTACCATACCGTACAGTCAATAAAGCCTTAGACATCTTAATATTTTCAGCCCTCTACCAATGACATAGCACATAATAAACATTTAATAAATAAGCTAACAGAATAGAAAGGAGTATATCATACATATTAAAGTAAATTAGGTACATGGTTTTGGGAATTCTTTCAGTTATGTATATGATTTTATGTATAGACCGTGATTTTGTATATAGGTTTCTCCTGATAGATCAGAGTTTAATTTTTTCTTTTAGAGACAGGGTCTCACTATGCTGCCCAAGTTGGCTTGAACTCTTGGGTGCAAGCAATCTTACTGCCTTAGACTCCCAAATAGCTGGGACTACAGGCGTGAGCCACCATGCCAGCAAAAAATTTTTGAAAGTCTCTGCTGACGAGCCTACCAAATGTCAGCTCTTTGTTCTATCACTGTAACTGAGACCAGGAGGCAATTAAAAGGTCTTTCAAACAATAAGATTTAAAAGACTGACGTCATATTGGTATTCAAGTTCTTATCCGTTCATCCAAAGTGGCCTATCACCTGCATTTCAAATTTAGAATAAAAAAGAAATAAAGATAATACCTTTTTAGTCCATCTTTTTACTCCATTATATCCTTTGGTTACCAGCTGTCTATGAAAAAAGCTGTTGAAGAAGTGAACCTAGAACAGACACCAAAATACAAGCAACCAGATTATATTAGGCTTGTTCAGATTTAACTTCAAAAGAAAAATAAAATTTAAAAATGCTTGAACATAAAATAGACAAAAGGAGAGGAAAAGTTTCTCCTCAAAAAATAATGATCAAAATATAGAAAATATATTACATGGTTTATAAACATGTATATATACATCTTTACAGAGATTCTGTTCCAAATTTTTCTTAGAATGACCTTACAGCTGTAGTCTACAGACAGAGCTGAACAGATTATCTGAATCCACACCAGAAGCAACCTGACAAATCTCTCCAAATCAGGTGATAAAGTTGAAAGAGGCTATGAAAAAATGAGGTAATGATTACCTGAACTCAAGGGATATGCATTATAAAACTACTCCCATCTGAAGGATGTGCATATGGAGACTCCTGTTGTAACAACTATGAAAGGCCTTAGTGTGATCATTTCTGGTACCAAAAGAATTACCCTGGCCATCTGGAGCATCAGGGCCTGCATTACTGGCTTCAAATTTCTGACTTATAAGTAGTATCAGCTTATCTGAGAATGTAAACATATTGTTCTATTACAGTGTTCACTCAGTAAACTTGAGATGATAAAACTGTCCCTTAGGGCTGTGGTTTTCCAGGTGTGGTCACCCTGAGACCAGTAATATCGGCATCACCTGGGAATTTGTTAAAAAATCCAAATTCTCAGGCCCCACCCCAGACCTACTAAAGAAGAAACTCGAGGGTGGAGGCCAGTATTCTACTTTTATGAAACTTCCAGATGATTCTGATGTACATTCTTTTGATAACCACTGGGATTACCATACACACAAAAAGAGCTTGTAGCAGCTATCTCTAGAGCAGTGATTTTCAAATTTGGTGTCCATCAGAATCATCTGGAGAGCTTATCAAAACACTGACTGCTGGGCCCCACCTCCAGTTTCTGATTCAACAGGCCTGGACTGGGGTCTGAGAATGTGCATTTCTAGTAAGTCCCCAGGTGATGCTGATGCTGCTAGTATAGGGACCACACTTTGAGACTCATTGCCTTAATAACTATCCTCTTAACTCCACGAAGGTTTAGAATTAAATGTAGAGACAAGGCTGGGCTCACGCCTGTAATTCTAGTACTATGGGAGCCTCAGGTGGGAGGAATGTTCGAGGCCAGGAGTTAGTTCAAGACCAGCCTGAGCAACAGCGAGACCCTCAGCTCTACAAAAAATACAAAACTTAACCAGGCATAGTGGTGTGTGCCTGTAGTCCCAGCTACTTGGGAAGCTGAAAGAGGAGGACTGCTTGAGCCTAGGAGTTTGCGGTTGCAGTGAGACAGGATGACACCACTGCACTCTAGCCTGGGCAACAGCGAGACTGTGTCTCAAAAAAAAAAGAAAAAATGTAGAGACAGCGAAGGTAAATTAAACTCTTGAAATTTACTTTAATGTCAAAAAATAATCTGAATATGTTTAGATTTAAACTTTCTGATGACTAAGAGAATTTAAAAAAATTTTTTTCTTCTTTTTTTAAATTGTATTTATTTATTGTTTTTGAGACAAAGTCTCACTCTGTTGCCCAGGCTAGAGTGCCATGGTGTCAGCCTAGCTCACAGCAACCTCAAACTCCTGGGCTCAAGCAATCCTTCTTCCTCAGCCTCTCAAGTAGCTGGGACTACAGGCAAGTGCCACCATGCCTGGCTAATTTTTATATGTATATATATATTTTTTTAGTTGTCCAGCTAACTTCTATTTTTTTAGTAGAGACAGGGTCTCACTCTTGCTCAAGCTGGTCTCAAACTCCTGAGCTCAAAGGATCCACCCGCCTCAGCCTCCCAGAGTGCCAGGATTACAGGCATGAGCCACCATGCCCGGCTGATTAAGAGAATTTGACATAATAATCTGGCATGTCAGCCTCGTGATTCCAATTTATAATGCATAACACATGTGTGATTTTAAGTGGAAAGTTAAAATCATTTTTCTATATTCATAAATAGTATCAGAATCTGAGATTTTAAAATATTTATCTGCTTATTTTTTAGTTTATAAAAGTTGTATAAAGTACTTGAAAAGTTCTGCAGCCCACCCATCAGGCACTTAAGTATTTATAAAGAAAAACTAATATATTAAGTTACAAATAATTTTAATATGGCTGGGTGCGGTGGCTCATGCCTGTAAGCCTCGCTCTCTGGGAGGCCGAGGTGGGTGGATCACTCAAGATCAGGAGTTCGAAACCAGCTTGAGCAAGAGCAAGATCCCATCTCTACTAAAAAATAGAAAGAAATTAATTGGCCAACTAATATATATAGAAAAACTTAGCCGTGCATGGTGGCACCTCCCTGTAGTCCCAGCTACTCGGGAGGCTGAGGCAGAAGGATTGCTTGAGCCCAGAAGTCTGAGGTTGCTGTGAGGCAGGCTGATGCCACGGCACTCTAGCCCAGGCAACAGAGCAAGACTCTCTCAAAAAAAAAAAAAAAAAAAAAAAGTTTTAATATGTAACTAACCTCTTAAGAGAATTTAAAGCTGATGGAGGTTGAGTTTGTATTTGAACTGAGAATTAAAGATTTATCCAAGAAAAAATGAAGTATATGAATACTATTTTGCATTTTCAAAGACAGTAAGATTTCAACTTAAATTTAAGAGCTTAAATAATCCCTTTTGAGTATCTCTCCACCAAAAAAAACCACCAATATATCAACAAACACACCCACTCTGACGCAAGTAAGCAGGAAAACAATTGCACTGTGACTTTCATATGCAGAAGTTGTTTGCTAGAACTTATGCTCAACCCTAGCACATGATCAAGACAAAATTAAACCCTTTTTTAAAAATTTAAGAAATATCAAATAATTAAATAAAGTTTAAAAACAAAAAACTACTACTTTTAATACACAAGGATTCTCTCTCCTAAAGAAGAAATAGTTTTCACTTACTTTGTCTGGAACTGCATCCATTATCAGCTCACCATACATATTAATGACCTAGAAAGTCAACATAAAACTGGCTTACTAACTATATACAATTCGGAACATCCCAATCAGAATGACTGATATATTGATATTGCTAACAGTAATCAAACCTTTTAAATCCTGAGGTTAATGAGTCGCTTCAGTAGGAATAAAGAACCCTTGATTCTAAAAGATAACTGGTAGGCCAACCTAGAGGTTATAATAATATTTTATTGACCAACATCCTCTGTGCCTTTTCCATGCTGAGAACCTACAAAACACTAACCTGGTCATTCAGCCAATTCTGACCATCCAGGGTCACCAAGTCATCCATATCCAGCATGTGCTTATTGTAGAAGATGCGGAAGTTGCATTTTTGATGTTTGGCCCGATAGTTTGTTATTTCCCTATTAATAAATGGTTTTCTGAAACAGAAAGATTTTGAAAGAAAAGGTAAAAAACATGAGTTCTAGGCCGGGCGCTGTGGCTCACGCCTGTAATCCTAGCTCTTGGGAGGCCGAGGCGGGCAGATTGCTCAAGGTCAGGAGTTCGAAACCAGCCTGAGCAAGAGCGAGACCCCGTCTCTACTATAAATTAATTGGCCAACTAATATATATAGAAAAAATTAGCTGGGCATGGTGGCGCCTGCCTGTAGTCCCAGCTACCTGAGAAGTTGAGGCAGGAGGACTGCTTGAGCCCAAGAGTTTGAGGTTGCTGTGAGCTAGGACGCCACGGCACTCACTCTAGCCTGGGCAACAAAGCGAGACTCAAAAAAAAAAAAAAAAAAAAAACATGAGTTCTACTCAATGTATTGCCAAGTATCTTTGCTCCCCTAAATCAAGAGAAAAGTCATACAGGCCAACAATTTTATTTTCAAGGGCTTAACTTTATTACTTACATACCTATTAGAAAAGTCTTCATTAAAGACATCTTTTAATCTTCCAAGAACATCTTTTTCACTGAGTGGAACCAAACTGCCATACTTCTTCATAACCTCATCTAGGAATCCTTAAACAGGAAGAAAGAAAAACTAAGATGGAAAAACAATCCCTTTTCAGCAAAGCCATTGTCCCAATACTTAACCCATACATAACACTTAACACATACAGTACTCAACCTATATTATTACATAGTATTATATTAGACTATAAAGAAGTCTCTTAGGCCGGGCGCTGTGGCTCACGCCTAGCTCTCTGGGAGGCCGAGGCAGGCAGATTGCTCAAGATCAGGAGTTCAAAACCAGCCTGAGCAAGAGCGAGACACCGTCTCTACTATAAATGGAAAGAAATTAATTGGCCAACTAATATATATAGAAAAAATTAGCTGGGCATGGTGGCGCCTGCCTGTAGTCCCAGCTACCTGAGAAGTTGAGGCAGGAGGACTGCTTGAGCCCAGGAGTTTGAGGTTGCTGTGAGCTAGGCTTATGCCACGGCACTCGAGCTTGGGTAATAGAGACAGACTCTGTCTCAAAAAAATAATAATAACAATAATTTAAAAAAATAAAATAAAATATACTAGGCCCTCATCATTCCCATCTAGAGAAAAATACTGAAGCATTATTTCATCACATTGGATTTTTAGGCTACCAATGTAGTTAGAGAATATTAATAGATAGCCAAAATTAAATACTGACATCTTTCCATAGCTTAACCTTGGAAAAGAATCCTCTCTCCTAAAGAGTGAAATCTAAAGGGCTTAGTCACCTAGTCACATGTGTCTAATTCTTTTGGTAACTGAAGGAATTATTTTTTTTAATCACAATTGGAATTAATTGGTGAGATGACTGTCACTCTATTATTTGGTAGACAGTGTGTAACTGAGTGTGAGCAAGGGACAAATACAACTTGATAGTAACTATACTCACGACACTGAATAACTCTGTCAGTTTAACTTGATAATAGTCAGTGAGGCATATTTTACAATGAGAAATAGAATCTAAATGGTGGCTTTGTGGCCAGACTATAGTATAGTCTTCAGATCAACTTAAATAATATGTATATATGTTTAATTACTTCAAGGAGGATCCACTGAAGAAACATACCTTAAAAGGCCTTAGGAAATAAAACCAGGACATTATTTCTAAGTAAACATAATACAAAAAAGCTAAGGAAAGGCTTAGAAGCTAACAAAGTACAGACATGACTTAGGCTATTCACTGATGCTGAACAGGGAAAGCAATAGCCTAGCTAACGATCAATCTGACAGTTAAATCTATTGAGTTAAGATGGGGAAAAAGAGGACTGTTAGCCACAGCTTACTCAGCTCCCTTTCTAACTCCAAGAATGGCCTCTGCTGTGCATCAATACAAAATGGACACGAAAGATCACAACAGACTGTTCTGGGAATTTTTTCTCTTGTTAATCTCCCACCAGAGTAGCTCTCAATTTGAAAGGCTTAAGACAAGAGCAAAGATCAGGGTCCAGTAAACAGGAAAGAAGTGCTTGCTTATGCCTAGTTCTGGTCGCAACTTTAGGCAAACACAGAAGACAGGAGAGTAGTTCCATGTTCCAACTTAATCAGGGAAGGAGATAAAGATTTGAGGCTTCTAAACTAGGAACAGAACATATATTTGCCTCTAGTATTTTCTATATTATAGCTTACAGTTCTCTAAGTATAGCCTTGTGTTTACAGGGGGAGAATGGACCAAATGGAAGATAAGGAATCTCAACAGTTGAGAAACTGCATTTAAGGAACCAATTTTATAGAAAAATAATGCCCCTAACAACAACAAAAAATTAAGCTTTAGGCCCCACAACCTTGATTGAGGTTCCTCAAATAAGAAAGCAGTCTGTTCTACCAATGGAATATGGACCCCAATTTCAAAATACTATCATGAAAAAGCAGTGTTCTTGTTAACAATGTTATTTCTCAGTGGTACTATTACAGAGATTTTAAGTTGTTATGTATTTTTCTCTTATCTAAACAGATGTGGTCTTACTAAGTTGCCTAGGCAGGTCTAGAACTCCTGGGCTCAAGTGTTCCTCCCATCTCAGCTGGAGGACGTGGATGTTTTTGCTTTCAGATGATAAACATGGATTCCTTATTCAGCAGAAACACCTTACTAGGATCTTCAAGGAGAACCCTAGATGACAATGTCTCACTGATACACACCATTATCTCACTGGGACCAGAAGTAAAACAACAAACAGTTAAAGAACCCATAAGCACTAGCATATCTCATTTAATCCTTATAGCTACAGTATGTGTTAAGATCCCTGCTTTACAAATGGAGACACTGAAAGTTTAGGGAGTTTAAGTAACCTTCCCAAAGACACTTAACTAGCATATGGCTGAACTAAGATTCTGACTGCAGTCATGTGACCACAAAAATTAGGCTAACTATTAATATTATGTGGCTGTGACACCTCCAAAGCATGAAATACCTATTATCTTTTCTCTACAAAAATACATGGTTCTTCGTTTCTCATTCTCTGTCTCTCCTAGACCCTTGTAACCACCTTTCTATTCTCTACTTCTATAAGTTTGGCTTTTTTGTTTGTTTGATTTTGGAGACCACCACGCCTGGCTAATTTTTAATTTTTTGTAAATATGGGGTTTTGCTATTGCCCTGGCTTGAACTGTACTCTTTCAGAGGGTGAACTTTATGGTATGTGAATATCTCAAAGTTGTTAAAAAGAAATATAAGAAACCACTGAAATTATTTCTAGGCCAGGCTTGGTGGTTCATGCCTGTAATCTTAGCACTATGGCAGACTGAGGTGCAGGATCACTTGAGACCAGGAGCTTGAGACCCCATCTCTTAAAAAAAAGAGGGGGAGGGTATATGGTAGGCACCTATAATCCTAGCTACTCGGGAAGTTGAGGTGGGAGGATCACCTGATACCAGGATTTGGAGGCTGCAGTGAGCTTTGATCACACCACTGCATCCCAGCCTGGGTGACAGAGTGAGACTTTATCTCTTAAAAAATTAAAAATTACTTCTGTACTTCTGATGGACAAAAATGATATATATTTATGGGGTATGGTATTTTGATATGTGTAGTATATATTTTGAAGTGAATAAATCAAGCTAATCAACACATTCATCACTCACATACTTCTTTTCTTTTTTTTTTTTTTGAGACAGTCTTGCTCTGTTGCCTGGGCTAGAGTGCAGTGGTGTTGTCATAGCTCTCTGCAACCTCAAACTCCTAGGCTCAAACAATCCTCTTGCCTCAGCCTCCCGAGTAGCTCAGACTCTAGGTGCGCGCCACCATACCAAAAAAATAGAAAAATTTTCCTATTTTTTGTAGAGATGGCGTCTCACTGTGTTTCTCAGGCTGGTCTCAAACTCCTGGGCTTAAGTGATTCTCCTGCCTTGGCCTGTCAAAGTGCTAGCATTACAGGCATGAGCCATCACATTGGCCTTATTTTCTATTAAGAATATTTAAAATCTACTCTCATCAGTTTTTAAGTACACAGTACGTTACTAACTATAGTTACCAGACTGTGTGATAAATCTTCAGAACTTATTCCCCCATCTAAATGAAAGTGTGTATCTTTTGATCAACATCTTCCCTGGGCTACAGTGTAGTGGTCATTATAGCTCACTGCAAACTCCAATTCCTGGGCTCACGTGATCCTCCTGCCTCAGCCTCCTTAGGAGCTGGGACTATAGGCATACATTACCATGATCGGCTAATTTTTCTATTTTTTGTAGAGATGAGATTTTACTGTATTACTCAGGCTGGTCTTGAACTCCTGCCCTTAAGTGATCCTCCTGTTGTGGCCTCCCAAAGTGCTGGAATTGCAGGCGTGAGCTACCACACCCAGCTGATTTTGACTTTAGATTTCACATATGAGAGAGGTGCAGTATTTTTCTTTGTGTCTGGCTTATTTCACTTAGCATAACGTCCTTCAGGTTCATCCATGTTGTTACAAATGACAGGATTGCTAAAGGCTGAATAGTATTCCATTGTGTATATACTAACATTTTCTTCATCCATTAATGGATGCTTTGGTTGATTCTATGTCTTGGCTGTTGTGAGTAGTGCTGCAGTGAACATGGGAGTGCACATGTCTCTTAGGTATATTGATCTCATTTCCTTTAGATATATACCCATAAGTAAAATTACTGGATCAAACTGTGTTTGTATATGTGTATATATGTGTTAATCCTGATTGGCACTTACTAAGCTTTTCTAATTTAAGACTCATGCCTTTCTCTTCAGTTCTGGAAAATATCATTTATTTTTTCAGTTTTTCATTATTTCCTGACACACCTATGAAATGGAGGTTAGAACTTTCAGTTCTTTAAAGTAAAGCAAGAACTTTCATACCTTAGGTTTAAGTAAAAAAAAAAAAAAAAAAAAAAAGTAAAGCAAGAACTTCAAGTTACTTGCAAAGTAATCTCTGTACAGAATCCTAGATTTTCATATACTCCCTCAAATCTTTCCCAGTTGTCTTGAATAAGTGTAACTCAGTATTAATTTTATTTTGCAGTAACTCACTACTATCATTACAATGCATTCAACTTGGTTTTTAAGGATGTAACTTCCTAGGCCGGGCACAGTGGCTCACACCTGTAATCCTACCACTCTGGGAGGCCAAGGCGGGCGGATTGCTCAAGGTCAGGAGTTCGAACCAGCCTGAGCAAGAGCGAGACCCCGTCTCTACCATAAATACAAAGAAATAAATTGGCCAACTAACATACATATAGAAAAAATTAGCCGGGCATAGTGGCGCATGCCTATAGTCCCAGCTACTTGGGAGTCTGAGGCAGCAGGATTGCTTGAGCCCAGGAGTTTGAGGTTGCTGTGAGCTAGGCTGACCCCATGGCACTCATCCTAGCCTTAACAACAAAGCGAGACTCTGTCTCCAAAAAAAAAAAAGGATGTAACTTCCTTAGTGTTCATATTTTATCAGTTTATATAATACTGAATAAACATATGAAATGGCAATAAGGAAATTTCCCATAACTCTTAAATATATAAATCAAGTAGGAGCATAATATACAATTATATTAGAGATGAGCCAACATTCAGCATACCATAGAACTCAAAGTTGTCTAATGCTCTAAAAGTCAGTTAAAGCAGCACCTACTGTACTGATTGCCCTATACTGATTACTATTCTAATTGCTCTATTAATCCCGATTACTCAAGTTTAGTTCTTTTATTGAACTTGTCTCATGGTGTTGGCTTTTCTCAGATGATGATAGACTGAGAGTTCATCTTTACTTGGGTAAATTTGCTGGGGATAGAAGGGAAGGGTTGTCATGGGCAGTAGCTGTTGCTCTGCTGTGAACTATTTTTGGTGGAGTAGGGATGCTAAGAACCTCAGCAACTGTTCTGGAAATGGATGTTCCTCATTCTTGCCAGGTGATATGGGGTCAGGGGATGGGGGTGAAAGGTGTCCTGTCTCCCGTTCTTAGACTTTCAGCTCAATAGCAGGTATCTTTTTTGCTGATATGTGACATAGGCAGGGAGAGATTCCCCAACTATTCAGTCTTTTACCATGGGTCTCCCATTTCCTCCCTACTTCTACCATCTCCAGAAACGGGCACCCTCAACATCATACCATTTCCCTGCACTAATCTTCTTTCTGCCCCTCTGGATTGTCCCTCTATTTTCTGCCTGTGGGAGCTTCTCAGTTTCAGATCCACCAAAACTCTCTCCTCATTTTTGAGCAAAGGGATACATATGTGTTTTTAATATATTTTTCATAATTTCTATGGATTTGGTGTGAAGATGAAGAAATTTCATGTCCTTACTTCATCCTCTTAAACCTGGAACTGCTATTGGTTTCTGACAGACATTCTTTAGTAAATGAGGTTAGTTTCCTTTATTACTGGTTTTCTCAGAGATTTTAACACAAAGGGAAGCCAAGTTTTATTAACAGGCTTTTTAGCACTTGCTGAGATTCCATGATTGTTCTCCTTTAGCTTCTTATAATAATAAATTACGTGCTCGCTTCAGCAGCACATATACTAAAATTGGAACGATACAGAGAGGATTAGCATGCTCCCCCCCAAAAAAATGAATTACATTAAAGATCACTAAATGTGAATTCTGTAAGAATTCCTACTTCTTCAGGCCATGCTACAGTTTTTTACTAAGTGCCATATTCAATTTATCAGTTGTATTTGGAAGTGTTTTATCTATAAAAGTTTATTGGTATTTGTGGATAAATATTAATTTTTTTTCCGGTTTAAGTATCACAGTTCTGCTATTAGGAAAATTTTAAAGATCTGCTAGGACTCCTTTGTGGTTTTTTGTGGGAAGAACTTGTTACACATAATGCTTAGAAAGATAAAGTGCTCAGAATTGTTTAAATAATCAAGAAGTAACCCCCCTAGGTCCCTCGAAAAAGCCATTTATAACAATTTATGTGTTCAGATGTGTCCTATATAAATGTACATGCACATGTATATATACATATTCATCCTATCTATATGCATATATATCTTTTAACAAAATGGTATGCCATTTTGCAACTTGTTTTGGCTTTACACAGACATCTTTTAGTATCAAAATATAGATGTAATTTATTCTTAAATGGTAGCATAGTATGCCATTGCCTGAATATTTCATAATTTATGCTTCAATAGGAACACTTCTTTTGGTTGTTTGCATTTTTTTTTACTAAAATAACACAAGTAATTCCCTTATACAAATATATTTGTACTCTATTATATCTAGGATAAATTCCAAGGAGGAGAATGGATCAAAAACTGATACTGGCATACTGTCTTCCAAAACATTTATACCAATTTACTTCAAGGGGTAGATTTTGATAAGAGAGGGCTTTTTTTAAAAGCATGACATAAAAACTAGAAGCATAAAGTCAAAGACATAAATTTTACAACAAAAGAGCTGAAAATTTCTGTTAAGCCAAAATACCATAACCAATTTTGGAGTACTAAAGGCTTTTCATGAGGAACAATTCTTATACTATTTATAATTAGTAATCAATTTGACATCTTCACCACTAGAATGATGCTGAGGTCCCTGAAGACAGTATATCCTATTTGTTGCTACATTCTTAGGAACCAGCACAGTGCCTGGTACATAGGAGTTCTGCACATATTAAATAAATAAAATAGAAACAATCTAATTGAAAAATACACAAAGGAAAATCATGCACACAAATGTCCAATAAACACAAAAAGATATACAAACTTAAAAGCACAAATTGAAATAAAACTCTCAAAGCTTAACAAGTATAAACTGGTTCAATTTTTTAGAGGGTGATTCAACAATTCTCTTAAAATTTTAAGTGGGAATATTCTTTCACCAGCAATTCAAATACTAAACATTTAGCTTACAAGCACAATTGTGTAAGTGTAATTTCATTGCACCATTAGTCTACAGAAGAAACAACTGGTATCACAGTAAGTGCCCATCAACCACGAATTAAACAAATTATGGAATATCTACATAATGTAGCAATACAGAAAAATTCAAGAAGAATGTCTAACTGCTTTAAGGGAAATCTCTGTGGGGGATGAAAAAATAGGACTCTTCTAGAAAGGACAAGGGTCAGCAAGTGTGGGCTAGAGTTTGGGGGAGAATAAAGGAAGAATGCATACCAGAAAGACAGATTGACAGCTGTTCATCATCCACTGGAGATGCTTTCTGACAGTTCTTTCCACCTCCCACTTGATTTTCTGGTTTGAATCCACTGCACACCAGGGGAGCCTCCAGCGGACTTTTACAGTAAGGGTGATCCAGCAACTTAGAACTAAGAATGTTCTGCTTGAGAGATCCATCCTCCTCCATCTGGTATGAGTTCTCATATTGAACAGTCTCTTCAGACACAGGCCCATTTACAGTACTCACAGATTTATCTGCTCCAGACTCTGACAGTTTTACTCTGTCATCACTGACAGTACTTGTCCGATTTTCCTGACCCAGAGTCATAGTCTCAGCTTCCGAGATGAACATGTTACTAGAATGATGTTCTGATATGGGGATGTCATGAATCAGCTCTGTACACTCCCACTTAGGAGAACAGGGTGACTGGTCCCAGGTGTACGTGGCACTGCCATTCTGTTGGTCAGGGAATGCTTCATCTAAACTAAGCTCCTTGTCCAAGAAAGGGCTTCCTTTAGTGTGGCTATCAGGCTTATGAGAGTTCTTTCCCTTCACCACAGCACTGTTGTCCATATCTGGAAAGTACGACTGATGCCGACAAGAAGGGTCTTTAGGTTCTGGGGAAGGAAATGGGCTGCAACTGCCACCCTCGCTGTTCTCCCTAAGTGTCTCTCGATGGTCCCCAGTGACTTTCTGCACCCAGCTTCGCTGGGTTTTTCTTAGCTTACAAACTTTGCTCTTTGTTCTGAAGTGCTGGGATCTGAGAATCCTGTACCGAAATCTAATCATGGATAATTTCTCATACATCATAAGAGGAGATACTTTTATTCTTCTATGTTGGTTAAGTTGGAACTTTTTTGGAATCAGAGGTCCCCCATTCCTGTGGTGCTCTGGCCCCTGGTAGCAGCCATAAAAAAAGCGCTTTCTCTTATGGTTGCTCAAGGTAACCACAATCGTGCCGCTCTCACCTGGACTTTGGTTCTCCCCATTGAACTTCATGGGAAAGTCAGAAGTTTGCAGCTCTGTCCTAGGTCTGGGACCATTGGCCTGTCCTAAAACATTATTTGCTGGAAAGTCGGCAACTGCCTCCAAGAGACTTTTTTCTCTACAGTATTCATGGTCAGAGTTCTCTGCTGATGACAGAAACTTCTCTGCTTGGAGTTTCAGGAGAGTCCTTGAGGAGGAAATGAAGTGTTTAGTGCCCTTTCTCTTTACTTTAGAGGACAAAGTACAAACATTCTGAGTAGAAACATTGGACTTGGTCTTAGCATAAAGAGGTTCATTCTGGATCCATGTTTTCTGGATCTGAAGGGTCTTCTTTCTACAATGGAAATGTTTCAATTGTCTACTCCAAGAAATTGGCCTTCCCAACTTAGCTTTCAGAATGCACAAGTGTTGGTGAAAATAAAATTTCTTAAAGCCTCCAAATCCAGTATTCCATTTCTCAGAAAAAGCTAAGTGGATTCCTTTCCTCCATAGAATTTTCCTCTGTTTTTTCATTTTTCTGATGCATAATGAGATCTGGATGTAGCTGTTAAGAGAAAGATAAGTTACATTTTGACCTAAAAATAAGGTCACAAAGACATATTCATAGAAATTCAGGTAGAAAACTGAAAAAAAAACATATATACTTCAATTCAGACTATCAGACATAATGAAATCCTACCTCATCAAGGTTTTCATCACAATGAACACTGGGGAGAGGGGAAGACATGAGTACCGTAAAAGACCCCAATTGTTATACACCTGCCTCTGATAGAAGTTTCAAGAATCATTTTCCCATATGCAGTTTCTGATGGAACAGGGCTGAGAGTCAAGAAAATTTCTTAGCATTGGCCCTGCTTCTCATTAGCTAAGTGACTTTTAAAAAGTCACCCAAATTCTGTGTTCTCATTTGTAAAATGGAGGATGGGGAAGGGAGAAGAAACCAGATACCACTTAATACTGATTCCATATTCATTTATTTATAATTTGCTCATAGCAAAACAATTTATTTCATATAGAAAATTTTTAAAGGAGCAGGTACTTTTTCTCTGTATAGTCATCCACAGGTAGATAGTCAATAAATACATGTGATATCAGTATCTCAAGAGGGATACCTGGCTCCTATGTTGCCAAAGACTATGAGTAACTACTGAGAGGACTGTATCAGTGCTCTCACTCAGTTATGGTTCCAGATCTCAAGTGAATATAAGAAAAAAGGGGCCAGGCGAGGTGGCTCACGCCTGTAATCCTAGCACTCTGGGAGGCTGAGGCGGGCAGATTGCTCGAGGTCAGGAGTTCAAAACCAGCCTGAGCAAGAGCGAGACCCCATCTCTTCTATAAATACAAAGAAATTAATTGGCCAACTAATATATATAGAAAAAATTAGCTGGGCATAGTGGCGTATGCCTGCAGTCCCAGCTACTCAGGAGGCTGAGGCAGTAGGATTGCTTGAGCCCAGGAGTTTGAGGTTGCTGTGAGCTAGGCTGATGCCACGGCACTCACTCTAGCCTGGGCAATTGAATGAGACTCTGTCTCAAAAAAAGAAAAAAGAAGAACCAACACAAGCACACACATAAACTTCAGGAACACACTGATAGAGATGATAGATGGAAATGAATGACAGTCAAAACCAAACATGACTTCTCTTCAGGATTTAATAAGACCTTATATTACTGAAGGCTCTTTAGCATACAAAGAAAGGCACCAGCCAACAAGTAGAATGGAATAAATACTAGATTATGACAGAAACCAATATTCTAATTCAGCTTGCTAACTAAGAAAGCTGTATTACTTTTCGATGCATCAATTTTCGGTGCATCAATTTTCGTGCATCAATTTTCTCTGAAAAAAATATATAAGACTGCAACACATTTACCTCAGTTTCTTTTCAAATCCCTTAAGATGACAAAATCAGATTGTTTTAAACGGCAAAAACAATTGAAAGGACAAAGATAATGAAAGAGGAGACAAAAGCATTAACATTTTTGAAAGCCGCAAACAGATGAAAGAGTGATAACAGACTTAGTAGGCCAAAGGAGCTGAAATCTAAGCCAGCAGTACGGGAGGTCAAGAAGCAAGTAACAGGACCTGAGAAAGGCTCAGAATTGGGGGCAACAAATAACCCATAAAGGTCAGGAGCACCGAGGAAGCTGAAAAGGGAAGGACCTGCTCAAAGTCTGAATAAAAAATAGACCCCATTTGGTTATGACAGATAACCAAAGTTTTATTTTCTGCGGAAGCTGACCAGGACAGTGAGGTACATCGTGTGCAGCTGAGGCAGGGATGTGCTAGGGAACAAATGCATTTACAGTGAATTCCCTCCTCAACCCTCCCACTCAGCTTCCAGAAGACTGGCAGCCAAGTATGTATCTCCAAGGAGAAGAGCAGCCCTTGGAGAAACGGATCAAAGAGAAAAGACCACAGGTACTGAAGTGACATTTGGGGATACCTCAACAAAACAGGCCTAAACAATAACTCTACTGTGTATCCTCAAGTTTAAGAAAGCAATTAGACTACAGATCCCTCCCTAACTACACATAACAGGAAACTACCACTCCCTATCCAAAATTGAAAGTTTATCCTTCAGAAAGGGTAAAATGGACAGAGAGACTCCAGGCATAGTTTGAAGGTGGAATTACATACTGAATATTAAATTCCAAACATTTTTCCCCACTCATCTTTCAGAACCCTGGCAGTCTGTCTTATCCATCTAAGCAGAAGATTGGAAGATTTGTCTCTGGAGAGTATGACTGGTCCAAAAGAAATTTAATAAAGATACAAATATTCCCACAAATGGCTCAGCAGGGCCCACACTGCACACCAAAAGTTTTCACGTCCACCATGTATCTCAGAGTTTCCAAGCAGCTTCTTAGTAGTCATTCTAAAAACATTGGATGTTGTTAAGTACGTGCCACCACAGCCAGCCAATTAGTCTATATTAGTAGAGACAGGGTCTTGCTTCTTGCTCAGGCTGGCCTCGAAGTTCTAAGCTCAAGCAACTTCCTTCCTCAGCTCCCAGAGTGCTAGGATTACAGGCATGGAGCAACCATGCCCTGCAAATGTTAAATCTTACATATATTTTACCACAATAGAGAGAAGAAAAACAGTAATGCTATCTTTAAAGATGCAAAAGAAAATATTAATTCATTAGAAAAAAGAAGATGGGCTGGGCAGGTGGCTCAATCTATAATCCTAACACTCTGGAGGCTGAGACAGGAGGATCATTTGAGTCAGAGTTTGAGACCAGCCTGATCAAGAGCCAGACCCCATCTCTACCAAACAGAAAAAATTAGCCAGGCATGGTGACACATGTCTGTAGTCCCAGCTACTGGGGAGGCTGAGGCAGGAGGATCACCTGAACATAAGAGTTTGAGGTTGCAGTGAGCTATGATGACACGTATGTACTCTAGGCCTAGGCAACAGAGTAGAGACTCTGTCTCCAGGGGGGAAAAAAAGAGGCAAAATGTTTTTTTTCAAAAGGGATCAAAACAAGGAAGGCTTACAGCATTCCTTGCCCAGGTGAACACTTACAGCCTTCACTATTCTCTGATATCCTTTCCTAAATCTTCCTTTATCTGTTTATTATTATTATAGTGATAGACTACTATGAAAATCATAGTGTGAAACTCTCCCTGCTTAGGTTTAGTATCTGTTCCCAAAGTCTCCAACAATAACGTCAAGTTACCTGACCATCAATTCTGTTCACAATGCTGTTTGCAGACCAGGATTTATTCTTTTTTTTTTTCTTCTTTTTTTTTATTTCGGCATATTATGGGGGTACAGATTTTAAGGTTTCAATAAATGCCATTTCCCCCCTCCCCCAAAGTCTGAGTCTCCATCATGACCATCCCCAGATGGTGCACATCTCACTCATTATGTATGTATATACCCGCCCCCTCTGCCCTCCCCCCTGCCCAATACCCTATTACTGTAGTACCTATGTGTCCACTTAGGTGCTGCTCAGTTAATACCAGTTTGCTGGTGAATATATGTGGTGCTTGTTTTTCCATTCTCGGGATACTTCATTAGTAGTATGGGTTCCAGTTCTAACCAGGAAAATAAGATGTGCATATCACCATTGTTCTTAGAGCTGAATAGTACTCCATGGTATACATATACCACATTTTATTAATCCATTCTTGGATTGATGGACTTGGGCTGTTCCACAGCCTTGCAATTATGAATTGTGCTGCTATAAACATTCGAGTGCAGGTGTCTTTTTTGTAGAGTGTCATTGGATCATTTGGGTAGATACCCAGCAATGGGATTGCTGGATCAAATGGTAGATTCACTTGTATCGCTTTAAGGTATCTCCATATTGCTTTCCACAGAGGTTGAACTAGTTTGCAGTCCCACCAGCAGGATTTATTCTTTTGCCAGCCTTTAGGTAACCATATTTGTGGGTGGAATGGAGAAAGAGCGTTGTGGAAAGTCAATGAGTAAGCAGTACTATTCTATTTTTTATTTTTTAATAATATGAAGGGTGGAGTGAGGAGGGGGATCGCTTTCCTTTTTTTTTCTTTCTGAGACAGGGTCTCATTGTTGCCTGGGCTAGAGTGCAGTGGCATCATAATAGCTCACTGCTAGCCTAGCCTTTTGTATATTTTTATTTTATTATTATTTTATTATATTTTAGTATTTTTATTATTATTGCTATTCATTGTAACACATTTGTAATAGCAAAATATTTAAAACAACCTAACTGTCCATACATAGGAAAGTGGCTGAATAAACAACTATAGTTTATCCCACATAAATGAAGCTGTAAAAGAAAGGAAAAGGGTTCTATGAGCTAATATGGAGTGATTTCTATGACATATCATTAAAGAAAAAAGCAAAGTTCAATTGAAATAATATGCCACTGCATGGTAGGTGAAAACAGGATGAAACAAATGGAGGAACTGAAAAAGGGGAGAAGAAATGAGATGAGTAGCATTCTCTGAATATGCCTTTTTATAAAGTTATGACTTTTTAGAACCATTTAATATTTCACATACTTTAAAATATACAAATAGGCCGGGCGCGATGGCTCACATCTGTAATCCTAGCACTCTGGGAGGCTGAGCAGGCGGATTGCTCGAGGTCAGGAGTTCGAAACCAGCCTGAGCAAAAGTAAGACCGTCTCTACTATAAATAGAAAGAAATCAATTGGCCAACTAATATATATAGAAAAAACTAGCCGGGCATGGTGGCGCATGCCTGTAGTCCCAGCTACTCGGGAGGCTGAGGCAGGATCGCTTGAGCCCAGGAGTTTGAGGTTGCTGTGAGCTAGGCTGAACCATGGCAACTCCCTCTACCTCTGCACAACAAAGTGAGACTTTGTCTCAAAAAAAAAAAAAAAAAAAATACAAATAATAAATCTAACCAGAATGCAGAAATACCAAAATGAAATACAACAATAACAAACAAACCTAACTGTATTTCTGTTTTTCTTTTTGAGACAGAGTCTCTCTTGTTGCCTAGGCTAGAGTGAGTGCTGTGTGTCAGCCTAGCTCACAGCAACCCAAACTCCTGGGCTCAAGCAATCTTCTGTCTCCAGCCTCCTGA